GTTAACGAGTCGAGTTCGAGCCGGCTCACGAGCCGGCTCGGCTCACTTACCCCCTAGTTCCAACCACCTCAAGGGTTACCACCACTCAAAGAACAAGAGCATGCAATTCTTCTAAAAGAGGGGGCGCACCGATTAGTGTACGACAGTACCGCTAACCCCAAATTCAGAAGGATGAGATTGAAAAGCTGATTAGAGAGATGTTGGAGGCTGGGATCATCATACCAAGTGTGAGTCATTTCTCTAGCCCAGTATTACTGGTCAAAAAGAAGGATGGGAGATGGAGGTTTTGTATGGATTACAAGGCATTGAATAAGGAGACTATACCGAATAAATTTCTCATTCTAATGATTGATGAGCTTTTGGATGAACTGTATGGAGCAGTGATATTCTCCAACTGGATTTGAAGTTGGGATACCATCAGATCCGGATAATGAAGGAAGACATCTCAAAGACACCGTTCGGACACGAGGGGCATTATGAGTTTCTAGTTATGCCATTTGGACTTACCAACATCCCTGCCACTTTTTAGCCACTGATGAACAGGGTGTTTAGAGAGTATCTCTAGAAGTTTATGCTGGTGTTTTTTGATGACATCTTGGTTTACAACAAATCTGAGGAGCATCTGAAGCACTTGAAGTTGGTATCGGGAGTTCTACAGGAGCATCAGCTGAGAGCCAACCTGAAGAAGTATTGCTTTGCCCAGACCTGTGTGGAGTACTTAGGTCATATCGTGTCCGAGGAAGGGGTTACGGCCGATTAGTCAATCAAGGAGGCCATGTTGAGATGGCTCTTACGTAAGAATCTCAAGGAGTTGAGAGGATTCTTAGGGATAATGGGATACTATAGGAGATTTGTAAAAGGGTACAGTACTATAGCATGGCCACTGACAGAGCTGCTAAAGAAAGATGGATTCCTATGGGAAGAGGCAACCACAGCATCATTTGAGAAACTAAAGAAAGCTATGACTACGGTACCCATCTTAGCTCTATCAGACTTCACTCAAGATTTCATAGTGGAGACATATGCTTCATGATACGGATTGAGGGCAATACTCATGTAGGATCGGCGACCCATTGCCTATTTCAGCTAGGTGTTGGCAGCTAGAGCCAGGCTAAAAACGGCCTATGAGAGGGAGATGATGGCTATCATTTTAGCCATCTAGAAGTGGCGACTCGACTTGTTAGGTAGGCATTTCATTGTCAGAATAAATCAGAGCCTAAAATACTTGTTGGAACGGCGGATGGTGACTAAAGAGCATCAGAGGTGGCCGTCAAAATTGTTGGGGTATGATTTTAAAATCCAGTATAGACCAGGAGGGGGGAATAAGGTGGCAGATGCCTTGTCCAGATGTATGGGAGAGCTACAGACAGTAACAGTGTTTGTTCCTTTGATGCTGGATTGGGAGGCCATTAAGGAGGAGAGCTTTAAGGATGAGGAGTTGGGAAAGACCAAGATGGATTTATTAAGGGAAGGTGGTAGCCACTCAGGGTACTCAGTAGAGGAGGACAGACTGCTGTATCAAGAGAGGTTCGTGATGCCCAGTACCTCAATCCATATCCAAAACTTACTTCAGGAATTTTATGGAAGCGTGGTGAGGGGCAATTCAGAGGTGCAGAAGACCTATAGGAGGTTAGCTGCCGAGCTTTACTGGAATGAAATGCATAGAGATGTAGAGGAGATGGTGGCCAGATATGGGATCTGTCAGAAGAACAAATACCTGGCTATGCCACCAAGGGGACTACTACAGTCGTTAGCGTTATCGAGACGCGTATCTTCATAGATGGGCTGCCCCGTTCGAAAGGCTTCACGGTGATTCTGGTGGTGGTGGATAGATTAAGCAAGTATGCTCATTTTATTCCCCTCTGACATCCTTACACAGCGGTGACAGTAGCTTCGACTTTCATCAGAGAGGTGGTCAGATTGCATGGGATACCAGAGGCAATCGTATTAAATAAAGACAATGTGTTCCTTAGTCATTTTTAGAGGGAGTTGTTGAAGTTACAGGGGACAGTTTTGAAGAGGAGCACCGCTTACCACCCTCAGATAGATGGTCAAACGGAAGTGGTCAACAAGAGCTTGGAGACCTACTTGAGATGCTTTGTTTCGGAGACACCCAAGCTATGGACCAAGTGGCTATCATGGGTAGAGTACTGGTACAACACCTCTTTTCACTCGGCTTCACAGGTGACCCCATTCAAGGTGTTGTATGGAAGGGACCCACCTTACTTTGTGCACTTTGGGAGTAGCAGTACTCCAGTTTCTTCGGTGGAGGAGTACTTGGGGGAGAGAGACAGAGTTTTAGATGAATTGAAGAACCACCAACTGAGAGCTCAACAGATCATGAAGAAACAAGTTGATGGGTATAGGAAGGACATCCAGTTCGAAGTACAAGAAAGGGTGTTCTTTAAACACCGACCATACCGACAAAAGACAGTTGCCAACAGGAGAAATGAGAAGCTCGCTCCAGGATAATTTAGACCATATGCAATACTAGAAAAAATTGGAGCGGCAATATATCGATTGAAATTACCATCTATAGCGACTATTCATCTGGTTTCAATGTGTCGCAGCTGAGAAGAGCCATTGTAGATTATACAGTCAGCTCGGAGTTACCGGCAACACTTATATACTAAGGACTTAGAGGCAATTCTGGAACCCTTAGAGTTGATGAGAGTTCGCCAAAAAGAAGATGGAGCTAAAGAAGTGCTACTCAAATGGAAGAATATGCCGGATTATGATGCCACGTGGGAACCATATGAGAGTATGAAACATTAGTTTTCTTATTTTCACCTTAAGGGCAAGGTGATTCTTTAAGAGGGCGGTATTGATAGGCCGGTTCAAGTTGAACAATCCCAGCCGGCCCAAGGGCCGACTCGGATATATAGGAGGCGGAAAAGTGCCGCCTCCTTTGCTCTTGTCGCCCACATGGGTGGGCCCCACTAGCCTTATTGAATTCTCTTTTTTTTTTTAGGGGGGGGGGGGGGGGGGAGGGAATGCCGGGGGGGGTCGGTTTTGGGCTTGGGAGGGAATTTGTATTACTAAAGGTATGTATTAAAGAGGATGGGAGGTGTTAGGGTTAGGTTATGCATGATTTGAGTTTCTCTTGGAGTTCCTTGGCGTTTTGGCTCTAGATTGCTTTGTCTAGAGATTGGGAGAGAACGATCCTCTCGAATTGAGGATCACTTGTATCTTGCTTCGTGTTTTGTTTGGCTTTGATTTCCTTGTTCCAATACAAAGTTTGGTGGCTGATTTTGGTCAAGTTTTTTACGTTATTCTCGCTGTTTTTGCCAATTAGTGATAGTTTTGCTTGCGAACTCAAGCATTTCCCTTAGGGTTACTTGCAACTCAAGTATTTCCTATCAAAAGAGTCTCCATAGATGGTTTGGTCACATAAAACAATGGCCTTCCAATGACCCGGTTAGGAGAGTAAATGCATTAAATTTGGCTTATGTTAAGAAAGGCTGAAGTAGACCTAAAAAGACTTAGTTAGAAAATATTAGAAATGATCTTTTTTTATTAGATTTAAATGAGATTTTTACTCTTAACATGACACAATAGAGAAAAGGATCTATGTAGCCGACCCCGCGTAATGGGATAATGGTATGATGTTGTTGTTGTAGTGAACTTTGTACCATTCATACAAATTTTTCGTATACAAATCATTATTCATAGAACATATAAATGAACTTCAAAAAATAAAAAGATGCCAACTTAAAAAGTAAATTGACTAAGAAAATAAAAAAGGATTCCATTTATAAAAGATATAACATAACCGCATGACATCATGAATTCATTTTATGTGCATTTGCATCAGATGCCCTACTACAAAGTTTTTATTTTTAATAATGAACTAAAGCATTGTAGATCAAACAATTTGTCTATATGCATCCACATAAGCCTACAATGTAGATCATTTTAAAGATAGTTCTCATGTTTGGTCCCTTTATCTTTGTTAAAAGGACAGCTGAGTCAGTCATAGCTACTCTACCCTGGTGGATATATACAATTCTTTTCAAATAATAAATAACTAACAAAAGTTGAGGTTAGAGAATTATTCTATTCTTTTAATAAAAATTAATAACATTGTCTAATAATATTGTCATGCTACCTTTTAATTTGCAATGCTAAGATGAGAAGTTTGCAATCTATTTTAGTACCATATTCCCCTAAAAATCTCATAAGCATAAAACATAAGTGTTGTAGAGATGAGAATGCTCAGGTGGATGAGTGGCTTTATACTTAGAGACAGAATGTGAAACAAGTATATACATGAAATGGTTGGAGTAGCTCTAGTGGCTAATAAAATTAGAGAGTCGCCTTAGATAGTTTTGTCTTAAAAAATGTCAACCTTCCAATGACCCAATTAGAAGAGTAGATGTATTAGATCTGGCTATCTTAAGAAAGGTAGAGTTAGATCTAAAAAATCATGGTTAGAAAATATTAGAAATGATATTTTTTTAATTAAATTTTAATAAGAAATTGAATCATAATATGACAAAATGAAAAAAAAAATCATTCATTTGGCCAACCCCATAGTGGGATAAAGGCTTGATGATTTGTTGTCGTAGTATCCCCCTAAATGTCTCCATGTAATAAACTTTGGAAATAGCATAATGATATTTATCCAACTGGGGAGGTATTTGTTTTCTATTTGGCTGTCATAATTTTTTAGAAGTTATTTTTTCAACCACGATTTCAAAATAATGGTTTAACAAAGTTAATTTTTAAGAATACTTGGAAAAACCAAAAAGAAACGCCAATTGTGCAGTATTTTAAGTCAAAAAAGCACTATGTTTCTAAACATAAAAGTTATAATAAAACTGTCTCAAATAAACCAAATTGATAGTTTTCTTCTAATATGCCTGGGACAAATTCTATTCGATTTTACTTCGAGTTCACTTTTCTAGTGTGTATCTCTGCCTAACGAGGAAAATCAAGATTTGACAACATTAATCATGGAAAGAAAGGGTAGTCCAGAACAAAAGAAGAATAGTTCTTACAATGCAATAAGCAATATTGTCACAGCCACAAACCATGTGTCCATTTGCAATATCAGTTGCCTCTGGTGCTCCTCCACTATCGCTTTCCTGAATCACAAGTATACCTCACAAAATGTTAGGACCCATATTTTATCATGATAAAATTTATAATCATGAGGTTTATTTTGAGATGAATCTAATACAAATATAATCAATTAAAATTTATATTGCACGCATTTTACAATAAATTGAATGACAATAAACATCATCCTAATAAAAATTTATCCAAAATATTATAGCCTAATTTATCAGTAACATATTACATACCTTATAGAAGTCTACAGCAATGAAATTGGCCCAACGGTTTCCTGAAAGAGCGTGACAAGTATCAAGCATGCTGACAAGGGGAGCTGAATTCTCCGCACAAGCAGCTGTACTGTTTGGATTATCCGGAAAGTAGTTTACAAGAACAAGGGACTTTGAGCTCGTGTTCATTGGGGATGACTCAGCTCTATTAGGGCACGAACCTGATTTCATGCCGTCATCACCATCTGAAAATTTTAAACCACATTTATAATAAATATAAAGGAAAGTGAAATAATTTTTACCAAAAGAATACAAAATATTGAATACTTCTATCACCTGCTAAACGGCATCTTTACCTCACTTACATTGAGGGGCTGTTTGGCTGAAGACTTAACCAAGAATCAACTAGGATTTAAGCTAAATCTTTCCAAATTATTTTTTGAGCCACATAAATCCTACATCCTAAAATACCATATCCCTCGAGTTCTAGGCTAGATCTTGGCGAAATTAAGATTTAAGAAATTTATTCCACTTTTAATAGTTATGCATCTTATTCTTCTTCATGTAAATCACAAATCTTGAAAGCGTCTGTTAAATGGTTTATTAGGATTTATTCAATTTAATATCTATAATAACAAACAATTTAACCCCTCAGGATTTGCAAGGTTTACAAAATTCAACTTAGAGCCAAATAGTGAATATTTGTAGGTTGGAAAGACCTTTTGGCCAGTGACAGCCACTCGTCACTAATTTTCGAACAAGACATCAACCAACATAACAGTTATTTGAGTAAGGCTTATGTTTTCCACTTACATTGGTTTTCAACCACATAGTTCCACTCATAAGCAATTCCTTCAGAAGCCTCCTTTTTCTTCTTGGAAGTGAAGACCAGTAACCTTTGGTTCTTACTGATTATATCGCTGAGCAGAGGCCAGTCTCCACCGTTCTTGGGCATTTCTGATACAGGGAACCAGTACTTGGAGAGGCCGGAAGCATTGAATACTTTGGTCAGGCCTTGAGGGGAAGTGACGTAGTCCTCGATGAATATGGTAATGACTTCTGAAGGATTTGATTCTAGGAAGTTTTTGATCTCTTCGAGCACGTTTTTGGCAGGTTGCTGATCAGTTGGTTTACAGAATTAGTGGTTTTGTTTTGATGCAATGAAAGCAAAGAAGATTAATTCATAGATTGCAACTTACGAAGGCAGTGAAATTGTAGCAGTTGCCACCGAAGGAATGGCATAACCAGATGTCGTTCAAGAAGTCATACATGTCTAACATCAGTCCTCTAACACCATTCTGCATTCGGAGTTAACAACGAACTATGAGGAAAGTAACAGCACGATCAAAGAACAAATGTTTATCGCTGTTTATTGCAAAATAATTAAGGAGGATAGCGTCAAAATATGAAAATTAGAGAGTCGTAAGCCTCGGCGATATTTTAAGCTGGAACTTTTACAGCTGCTCTCTAATTCTTTAGGTACTTCTACCTGTAATTAGTAAATGCACAAATATTCCTCTTGACTCAAAATTCCTTGAGATTTCCTTCCATGATTGGATTGCATCAGACTGCTAAGATTAGATCCACAATTCAGAATGGTGTCACGTCAATCTGTAAAACTTAATGGAGTTCTTAAAATTTCTTGCAAGAACTTACTTGCTTAAATGATTCAAGTTCTCAAATTTGTATAGGAACTTCTTCATGATTAAATTCTCTATTTCTTACAAGAACTCCTAACATGCATTATGAGTTCTCTAATTCTTACAAGAACTCGCATCATAAATTATGTAAAAAAAATCGAAACGAAAAATTTTAATTTACATAAGTCTTAAATCCTCAAGATCTTAAACAAAATGATTTTCACAATCCTTCAATCGAAAGAAAAACATACCTTGATTCATTTTGAATTCGCCGAATTCCAAACTACGATTTCTCTCCCTTCTCCCTTCACTTTCTTCTTTCATGAGTTAGTTCTCTATGGAGCAAAGCAACTCCTCATATAATGAGAGAGAGAGGACCGGTAGTTATTTCCTACGGATTGGTCACAATAACCGCATAGGAGTTATTTCCTACGGATTGATTACAATAACCGCATAGGAGTTATTTGATCAAACGGTCCATAAACGAATGATCAAATCATCTTTTCTTGACCAATAGGATTAAACATAAATAATTAAATTTCAATAATTCTAATATATGGGTCACTTAATGAGTTATATAATTAAATATACATACTTAAATAATTATTGCGACGTCTCGCATAATTAAATGTATATAATTATTCTAACATTCTCTCACTTGGCCCATATGAAATTATTCAATTAATAATTTAATTATCATAAACATAAAGCGCAATAAATAAATCCTTTTTTTTAAATTGGTCAAATCATAATTTCATTATTAAGTAAAAAATTAATACGGATCATGTCGGTCACACACCATTTGATCGATGCATTTCCTTCCATGTATCACGATACTAATTTTATACATAATATGAAGTATAATAAGATACACACATAATGGTCCAACAATGATGTCTTCACAAAAGACAAATCCCATCAATATTCACATAAACAATCATGTATACACAACATAATAAATGGGATATACTAATTGTTAGAAACAAAATAAAAGAGCTCAAAGTATCAAAAGAAATAAAGAGCAAATAAACATAAGCTTAATAAGGATTATCGATAATGCCCATCCTAACAACATGTTCATGAAATGTCTTCGGTGGCAACCCTTTAGTTAATGGATCCGCAATCATAAGATTGGTGCTAATGTGCTCAAATGATACTCTTTGTTTCTGAACTTCTTCTTTAACGGCAAAGTATTTTAATTCCATATAATAAGCACCCTTTGAATAGTTATCGTTCTTAGAAAAGAAGACTGCTGCGGTATTATCACAATAAATTTTTAGTGGTTTGACAATTCTGTCAACAACTCCAAGTCCTGAAATAAAATTTCGCAGCCATAATCCTTGAATTGTGGCCTCAAAACATGCTACAAACTCAACTTCCATTGTGGATGCAGCTGTAAAACCCGAAAATCCTATTTTAGGCTTTGCACGCTTTTTAAAGCGCCACGACGAGAATTTAGTGGAATTTTCAAGGTTAGCGGAATGTAACATAAATAATTTTAGAAAATCCCTTGCGAAATTCTGATCGTTTTGATATATAGAACTTATACCCAATTTTGCCTAAAAATGGAATTAAAAATGTTTTAAGTCTCTAAATGCCAACTTTGTCCCTAATCAAATAAACTATAAGAATTACTTAAGCAAGGGCATTTTAGACTTTTGTAAAACCCCCATTTCCTCTTAATAGAAACCGAAACCCTCCCTTCTCATTTCACGCAAACGAGCGGCCAAAACAGAGAGGAGAGGCGGACGGGCGGACCGTGCGGGTTTTGCGAGGGTGGCTCCGATGACGATCTTCCGGCGAAAAAGTTACGTCAAATTGAAGCGGACAACGAAAGGATTACTCCGGTATGATTATCTTCGAACAAAACCTTTTAGATCTCTAGATTTTTGGAAATGAAATTTTTAGGGTTTTTCCAAATTCGATTTTTCTTTCACAATTTCTTTATGAAATCTTTAAGGAATATTTAGAAGATTGTTTTGGCATTAAAAACATAGAGATTTGAGGAAAATTTTGGAGATTTATAAGTTAGGGTTTTTGACCTAAAACTTAATTTCGTAAAACACCTATACAAAAATGATTTCTAAGGGTATTGGGAATTATTTTAATGCGGAAATTTTGATTTAGGACGAAAATTTTATTTTCACTAATTTTCATGATTATTTTAATCCGAAAATTATTATATTATTATTATAATATGTTAAGGATCAATTTA